GCACCAGGTGCAGCAGCCCCACTGCGGACACGCTCAATGAGACAAAAAAATACTTGTTTGCGGACAATAGATTCCTGTATCAAGGACACAATCGGTTTGATTACAGTTATTTCGTGAAGGTTTTCGTTCGTTCGTTTGCTTAGTTTAAAACGGTCTAAACAGATATTCTGTGTAAAACTGTTTGGTTGTGCGAGAGTCGCGCGTCCTAGGCACGAGTACCAGCGTTTCGGCCACCATTGTGCAACCTTCCTCAGGGCGAAAATGAAGGCGGTTTTTTGCCCTGAGGAAGGTCGCACAATGGTGGCCGAAACGCTGGTACTCGTGCTTAGGACGCGGCGTCTGTCGGACAGCCAAGTAGCTACTAGCGGAAATTTACGCTCTAAGGTATTCTGTTTTCTACAGCATCGTGGATTTTTGTTAAATAATTGTACACTCCATCAGGAATCAGTACATTCTAACATTTCCGTTTCCATCAAACTCTATCTAGTCCACTGACTGGGAGACGCGCCATATCCTAGACAAAGATTCCAACGTTTTATCCTCCTCTGTCACCAGTGTAATAATAATAATAATAATAATAATAATAATAATAATAATACATTAATGTATTATATATTGAACTGGATGTGACTAGTGAAACGTCGACAGTGCTACGAGATGAGGCTTATTTTAAAGCGTCAGACAATAAATTTAAGTTCAATGATATCAGCGTACAATTACTGTATTGGGTTTAACATCTTGTGATATAAAAATAAAGTTCATCTAAAGGCGGCTCCATACATGTGGCATTCGGTGAATCCCGAGCAACCGCTCGCCCAATTCCGAGTAGTGTGGACGGGTTGCTTGCGATTCGCCGAGCGCCGTACATTCGGAATCCACCCTACCCACCACGTGTCGGTCTTTCGGACACATCAAAGAGACCTAACATTCGCCGAAAACATCAGTTTATCGGGATTGGACGAGCATTAGCTCGCTGCTCGGCGAATGCCGAATGTGTAGAGCCTCCTTAAAAGCAGTTGCCAGAATGCCCCATCTAAATTCCACCCAAAACTCTCATACCTCAGGATGTATGTTTTCTTATAGAATTATTGAATTGTACTTACTATTCAGAAAGTAAAAATATATTTACGTAAATTCCATCATGTTGCAGAAATATTTGATGCCAAATGGCGTATCGAAGCGATAATGGGAGATGTAAATCAAAATTCTAAACATCGCACTTGGTTACCATATATTTTGTATTCTGACGGGCTTCGATTTTTCCAGGAGTACAATTGCCCATCACATGGTTTGTCATATTGAATTGTCTTTAATTTTGGTTTTTATTGGTTGTAACTACACTAATTCATGGTCTCACCACGACGGACGCAGGAACAAATATCAATATTAACGATGAGAATGAAAGATCTTTTCCATTAATTCATCAGATTTGATCTTCTGGTGGAAATTTCCAAACCAACAATGTATAATTTAGTCACAAATCACTGCAGTTTATTGGCCGTAACACACACAATTATAGATGTGCCTTGCTGTGGATGTGGAGAACTTAGTAAACAATATATACATACTTTTTTATTTTCCTATTGTTATCTACGTCTTAATTTATTTTCTAACTTTACAATGACAAGTTGAGTCACGGATTTAACAAAATTTCTACAGTTTTATAATCTGATTATCTGGAGATAGCTTAGTGACAATCTTCAACATTTCATTCCTTGTGCTTGTATTTCGAGTGTTTTAAAATCCTGATTTGTTCTTGCATCTTTTAGACATAGATCTCGATTATTGTAAAGTTTGAAATTACCTTTGGTGGTTTCTTCCTTAGATTACCAACTTCTTCATATCGTTCATTTCAATGATTGATGGTTTGTAATTTCAATCAGTAAAGACACGTTTAATTCTGATGAATGGATGGTAAAATATTTCATTCTGATCGCAACATTAATGTTTGCTCCTGTATCCTCCTAGTCACGACCACAGGTTACTGCATTTGCTCCGCCACCGCTCTGTCTTCCTTCTCTCCGTGACTGCCTCGGCACCGCAAAGATTTCCCAAAGACAGTAGTTGCAAGGGCTACTAAAGGCTATTTTGTTGATTAATTTAAAATCCTTTACATAAAGTATTATTTTATAGTAAAATTACTGTCAAAACATTAACAAATGATACATTATTGTATTCCTCTTTTTATGGTCTGCCAGTTGCTGATGAGAAAATAATTTAAATCATCTTTGATTTTTTAAATAAAATTTCTCGAAAGCTAAAAATATTACGAACAATATCTTCAAAGCATATTACTTGCCCATGAACCGTTTAGAAGATATGAAGAGTATATATAAAGAGCCATTTGAAGTTGAGACTTTAATTTAAGGGACAAAATATCAATGCCGCTTTGTGAGTTTATAGCAATTTTTCCTTCCTCGAAGTAAATTCGAGAAAAAAATGCATTGGAATTGTAGTAATTTTAAATGTAGTTTTGCAGCTAGAACGTTTTTAATCCGGAAATATACTTTTGACTATCTTGCAGATGAAACTTGCAATTTGCTAACCCTAAAATAAAACTTATTTGAATGAAATCTTTCCGTCAAACGTTACAAACAAACTTCTGAAATTTTTCGTTTCTTTATTGTTTAGAATATGTAATTGGCAATGCAGTGAGGCTTTGTAAAAAGATTGTTCTACATTAGATATCTATTTCATCATTGAATTTATATCTGATACTAACATATGTATCCCGATTTGCCGGGGTATTTATCACAATAATTAATTAGACAGTAAGAGGCATTCCATCTATTCCCGCCCTGCCGCGGAGCCTACTTCAGCCGGTATCTGTTATATTGTATCCCCGCTCCCTCTTGCCCATTATCTCTCTTGGAAATCCCATGTCTTCCTTACTTTCTCACTAAAAATGTTTATATTATTTTAAAAATTGGGTTCTCGCCTCCAAATTCCGCTAATTTTTAAATAAAAATTATAAAAAATCTAAACAAAAATGAAATACATGTACCCATCTTACTATGAAGACTAAAGTATTCAACTACGGGGAAGCCGTATATTTTTTGGGATCCCCTCACAAATAGACACCTTGCTAGATCTTCCTATCATTACCTTCATTCGTTATATAGGCCTTAACTACCATCAAATTTCGAGAGGCAACAACCTTGAACGTTAGGACCTCTCTATCCTAAAATGGCGAGTCCCAAGGCGGCGGTTGATTTTCGACACGAGCTGCATACTAGGTCGAATTCAAACTATGCCTGGGGAATATTTAGGGTCGCTGCTCTATCGAGTTTTCCGGAGTTCATCTGGTAAATATTAGGCCAATGTCGGAGCAGAATCCTTGCAAAGTGCCACGGACTATGCGTGTTCTTGCCATCCCCACTCATGTCACCTTTTCATATTCACACAATCATACGTACACACACGCACTTGCATTTGCATGCACTGCACCAAACATGCTGGAAGACCAGTTGAAAGCTTAGAGCTTGTCCAGGTTTCCTGTTGGAAGATATAACCTTTTGGGAGAAAACACAGCAACTGACGTGTAGTTCGGCTCTGGATATCCAAGTTGGTATTCCAGAGGGGCATGAATACCGCCATCATCCGGAGTGTAACATGCACTACATTTACGAAACTAATTGGTCACAGTAGTTTAAGCACTCGGAAACACTTTATATTCACTCACCAAATGTTCTTAATTGCGCCTAATCGGTTGTCTTTTCACACACCATTTCTTTTGCTTTCTCTCTTTCTCTCTCTCTCTCTCTCTCTCTCTCTCTCTCCCACTTCTGCTCCTTTTCTTCTTCTTCTTCTTCTTCTTCTTCTTCTTCTTCTTCTTCTAAGTGATACAGTGAGACTTCTTGCCATGTAACTTCGTCTTACTTCACTTCTGATCACTTCCTCTCTCCGTGGGTAAGCACTTCCTTTACTCTAGGGCCTCTCATCGACCGAGTTGGTAGACCCACGCCATCACCTGTTGCGCTCCTGCACGCCGACATTAAACTCACCCCACACTAGTTGCGCTTGTGCTCTCACCTCTGAGTACCGGTAATATTTTCAAACAGAAATGTGTTCCTGGTTACGAAAGCATTGTGATGAGCCAATTTCGTACAGACAGCAGAATGCACAGGCGGTCAGACAGACGTATTTCCGTAACCAATGATTCGGTATTAGAGACCCAAAAAACGTTGATTCTGACTACACAATGTGTTAGAAGATTTTCTTCGTGTTTTAAAAAGAACTGTCCACTTTTTGGTATCGGGGATCTACAGTGTGATTGTGGGGCCTGAAAATCCCATTTTTCGTTGCAGCATCGCATACCTTTTTTATGTACTTAAATAGTATGCGAGAAAGTAAAATGTGGAGGTATTTTTGAGAAAATTTCGAAAATTATTTTAGGGCATCAATTTTGAGTTCTCCCCAAAATTAAAATATGCCTTTTTAAAGTCGACGATCCTCGACATCTATCAGATCTATTGAATCTAAGAAGAAAATTCTGTCTTAGATTTAGTCGTTAGTGTTGTTTACAGACAGAAAACAAACGTTCTGAGAAAAAACAACACTTTTTTCTTGTAATCAATGTATCTGGTGAGCTGAGACGGTATTGTGCCCCCAAAAGCCGTTTGTGCCCTCTCAGTTATCTGCTTTTACACTGTGGTCAGTAAGACTTCGTGCTGTGCAATTTATCAATTTGATCATCACAAGTCACGAAATTCAGTGCATTTCACTACTTTTTGGAGGAGGCAACATTGATCATCATTCGGAACGCGCAGAAAGTTTCAGCAACCTGTTTTTAAATTAATGCAATACACAGTTGAACTATGATCCTGCCGGCTAATTCTCAAATGTACACTCACTGAGAATTCAACCCATCGTTCGTGTATTGCTAAACAACCGGCCTGGCCATCAACAACTCAGAGAATGTTGAATCGAAGTGTGATTGGATTGCCTACAGATTGACCAAGTCAGAAATAGAAGGCGTGAAATCATTTACTGTGAACATAAATAGAAAAAATGAAAACCATATCAATCTTCAAACAGATTATTTTAACTTCACCTTCCCCCGATACTAAACATTACGAACGAGTTTTAAATTACAATTCTTCCCACATTAAATCACGATTCCCGAAAGATATTTTCCACCTCCCCCTTCAATTCACCCAGTAACACACACATACATATATTTCCAATCTTATTTTCAGAAAATTTATTTAAAAAATTTTACATATTGAAAATAGTAATTATTCAACAAAAAACAATTTCCATATCTATTATGCAAATCGCTGTCATCTGGCCAAAAAGTTATGTAATATATTTTATTCAAAGCCCTGAAGAATTGTATGAATTGAACAGGTCGAAATATTTTTTTTCGGAAAAGACCATAATATATAATTTCAAATATAACAGTGGCCAGTTTTGGTTTGCAGAATTTTAATACGGCGATGGTTGTAAAATGAGCCCCGGACTGCGGTGGAAATACGAGCCTTAAACTTTGAGGTTCATTTTCAATACCCTACAACTTGAAAGGTATTGAAACCGTGAAGGGTAGTAAGTTCAAAACCAAAAGCCAATTGAAAAAACTGGAAAACGGAAGACATGTTTACGACAATTGAAATTGTTACGAGCCAGGAAATGGGTTTGAAAAATGCTTCCAAAACGTTTCTCGTTCCAAGATCTACTCTTTAAAGGCTCATCCGTGTTGACAACCTTTGGAAGAAAAGCTTTAACTAAATTGGGAAGAAAACCTACATTGATGCTCTAGAGAAAGAGTAAGTCGAGTATTTGCTAGTCAAGGAAAGCAAATTCTACGCTCTCATCAGAAAAGATGTTTGCAGGAAAGCGTACCAAGTTTGTGGCCAACCGCGCGTGTGGAGGCTGAAGAAGAAAAAACAACACGTTTCTGCAGAAAAAAATAAAAACCTAAAACTGAATAGACTGAAAGCACAAACCAGAGTGGTAAGAAAACCAAAACCACATGATTATTAGTCAGGTAAGTGTAGTGCGTGTATTTATGGTGATGTAGCGATAATCTTTCACCGCTGGATGGCGAGATGCGACCCCAACCTTCATGTCGCTTTGTGATTTTTTTCACCTCTGTATCTGCCATCAATAGGTCACCACCCCACTCGGGGCAATCTCCAATCTCCCAACATATGTAGTAATGTAGTGCATGTAAGTGTTCGTATTGTGATAATCAGAGAAATCACGGTAAACCGATTACCGATTAGAGAAGCTGGCAGCAAGTATTCTTCATGATACCTCTGAATTCCACCTTGTGTCAAAACTCTTACCACCATAGGGTCTCGAACCCTTGGACCTCTTGTTCAGAGGCACTGCAGTGACATCAGTTGATGCCCTGCGAATGGCTTCTTCGCCGGTCTCTCGCAAGATGAAAGAACGGTCCGACGCCGGCGTCCACAACCCAAAGGTAGTAGCAGCTCCAGTAATGACGTAGTGTGCCTTCGGCAATAGTAGCACCGAGTAGACCCTAGTGTCGTTCCAACCAATACCAGGTGCTTGCGCAAAGAAAGCAACCCCCTCCTCACATCTTGCACATCCACAAGAATCTGCTTCGTATTTTGAGATTTCTCGTGGATGAAAAACCTCGAATACTTCGAGTAAGAACAGAATGTCGGTTGTTCTAGTCGAATGTCGACTGAGGATTGTTCGTGCTTGGACGTTTCGTGGTGAGTGCATCACTCACTCTTCATACCGCTGCTGTTCTTCTTTGGGGTATAGTTGCATTCTTGTATAGAAAGCCATTGCTTTAGTTGTTCTCCCCTAGTAGTGAGATAAGAAATACAGGTTGAACCGTAATACGCACCTAATACTCTGCTGTCATATGCGTTGTAGTTATTTTAAGGGTTTTAAAGAGGTATTTTCCAGCAGGATAATGCTCGCAGAACCTAGCAAATATGTTCAGGAAATGTCTTTACAGAATTGTCACCTTACATACGCAAAATTGTGGAATTAGTTGCCCAATATCTAGACGCCAGTATAGAGCAATAATAAGAACCTTCTCGAGGATGCTTTGTATTTGTGTTCGTCATTTCACCCCTCATCAATTAGGTATAACTTCATTCAGTATTTTTGGTTGGCTAGTAAAAATAAAAATCAGTGAGACTTCTGCTAGTTATTCACTTTTTATACAAGTGATTATGCTGAAATCGTTCGAATAATTGCAGAAACAATTTACAGCATGAAACGTGTTTGATGTTCCTCGAACCAATCAAACTTATGAATGTTATATTTTCTTGTGTAACATTTACAAATGCTACATTTTCTTCTGTAAGCAACAAGTGTGATGCATCTCCACCAAACCCACTGAATATCTTTAATCATCGAATGAAACTTTAAATCTATTTGCAACGGAGTACGATAAAGGAAGACATTCTTGCTAGGGTAACTTATTCTTTCTTCATTTCTAATTGTCTAGAGTTTCAGTGCGGTATTAACAGATCTTTGAAGAGAATTGGAAGCATCTCGTGATTGAATGAGATAAAGAAAGTTTCATTTCATCGCATTCCGACAATGACAGTTTCACGGGAGAGGTAAGGGAGAAACAATAAATCACTTGTTTGGGAAAAATGTACATTTTTTAGTTGATAACTATGAGGAAAATGTTTTTTGTGCGAATTTTAATGATATGTGCGTTTTTAGAAAAAAAGGAAAAACAATAAGTCACATTGAGGAGGAACTGGCAGCCTTTTCTCCTCTCATGTGTCCATCTCTCTCTCAGCGTTTCTGCGGCCAAAAGAACTACACAATACCAGAATATCCTCCTCTCTTCATCTGCTATCTACATGTGTTTCTCTCAAATCCATCAATTCCATCAATTCGTCACTGAACATGCGTAAGGAAAAATCTCTCTTGCATGGATTCCATTTGAACTATAATCCCGGACAATGGAAGTACAAGGGTAACTACAGTTATTAATCTGAAGAATACGAAAGTGCGTTTAACCCTTCCTACACTACGACTCAATATGCGCTACGTGGGGGATTTTATGAAAATAAAATGGAATAGCGCATGAAAAGAATATAAACCAAGCAGCATCCATACAACGCTTGAAACCTCTACGGCATTGGAAACTAACTCTAAATTACTAGAAGAGAACAAGTGGTTTTAATAAGAATTCGAACGGGTCATTCAAAACTTAGTCACCTTCACCACAAAAGACACGTGCCCGTAACTATGATTTACGTAACTGTTTTCTTCACCTAGATCATATCATTAAATCATGACCTCAATTTTCTTTATACGAAGAGGCATCTTTCTAGATTTAGATGCCAATGTAATGTGACTTTCTTCTGTGCACCAAGAGCTAATATTTCTGTAAAATTATTAATGTTGCATCTGAAATATGAGTTCCAAGTTCTAAAATATAAATAATTGACGTAAAAAGTATAATTGTATAATTTTTTTGTTATTGCCTCTCTTATTGTATGTTGCGACTCGAACCAAATACATAAAAAAAATCTTATGAGCATTATTTGGCCCCGTCGGTGCAACTTCGCGTGAACACACCGCATTCGCGGGTCGCGTGTCAGATCGGCAGAGGCCTTACCGGTGGCGGCGGTCTTGAGCTGCGGCGCAAGCGCCAGCCGCACGTTCTGCGCCGTGGCGGCGTCGGCCGCGCCGTGCGGGCGCGTGGGCGGGGCGCGC